AGTTGGTGCAGCGTTCGGGTCGGGGACGTTTTGGTCGTTGGTTCGAGCCCAGCTGGTGCAGTTCGTAGTCGCGTAGCGCGCGGGTGCGCGGCAGCCTCGGCAACCGAGGCGACAGTGGCGAGCAGGGGCGAGCAGGGGCGAGCAGGGGTCAGAGCAGTGCGGCGCGCCGAATTTTTTTCGATGGGCTCGGTCAGTGGGCGTGTCAGGAGGCGGCCGGCCGGGAGAAACTCGGCAGTAAAACTCCCGCGCCGGCCCAGGAGGTGGGAGTGTCACGGAGGCGGCCATTGGCGCGCGCTCCTTGTCTTCGTGGGTCCGAGTTTTTTTTCGTTCACTATCGTTCATGTGATACTGACGAGTCTACGCTGTAGGTCCTCGGGAACGAGTTCGAACTCTACGACAGGGGCCGCACAGTCCCCTCTCGTCTAACCCAAACGGACGTCGACGCTACCCGGGGGACATCGCGGACCGGCTCGACTGTTACTGGGCGTACCGCCGGCCCCTCCCGGCGTACGCGTTTCCCGCGCCTCGTCATTCCGAACCGCGCCCTCTTCACGCCTCCACCACCATCCATTCCCCGCTCTCCTCGGCGAGCGGCGCCGCCTCGCCGCCCCCCTCCCGCGCCTCCGCCGCCGCCGCCTCCGCCTCCGTCTGCGCGCGCTGCAGCGTGCTCCGCAGCGCGGTGTCGTCGACGCGGCCGAGGGCGGCGAGCAGCTCGCCAAGCAGCGGGCCGTGCAGAGACACGACCTGTTCACACCAACTCGCGGCTGTGAAACGGCGCCCGCCCCGTTTCCACACACACCTTGAGCCCCGCAGGACAGGGCGAGGGTTTGCCTCGCGCGAGCCTCCTCCTCCGCCGGCGCGCTTGTCGGCCTCCCAAGCGAGCAGCGACCTAGCGACCAGTGCGTTGGTAGTGAATCGGTAGTTAGTACTTACGCGGTCCACCTCCCAGGACAGCGGCGACCTAATCAGCAGTGAACTCGTAACAATGTTGGTACTTGTTGTTAGCGTGTCCGCCTCCCAACACAGCGGCGACCACAGCAGCAGCGGTCGGGGGTCGCCGGCGGCGTGCTCGGCCGTCCCTCCTTCGAGGAGAGCCTTGCGCAGCCCGGTCTCGGAGATGGAGCGGAGCCGCGAGGAGAGGTGCAGCCACGCCTGGTGTGAATTGAGACTGGCTGTTAACGCACTCAACTACCAGGAGCCGCGAGGAGATGGAGCAGCCACGCCTGGCCGTCCGCATTGGCGGCGGCGGCGAGAACACGCACGAGTCGCTCGCTCCTACCCATTCATCACTACGAATGAAGACGTCATTAGTAATTAGTAGGCGGAGGCACGCGCGAGCCGCTCGCTCCTGGCGGCGCGGCCGCGGGCGGAGTCGCCGAGCCGCCACGCCGACTTGTGCGCCACGTCGAGGGAGAGCTTGAGCACCTGCGGCGTTGAGATTGGGCGAGATTGGGCCGAGATTGCGCCGAGATTGTGCGCCACGTCGAGGGAGAGCTTGAGCGCCTCCTCTTGCGAGACGTGCCGCTCGGCGCAGAGGGCCGGGCTGGCGGCGGTGGCGAGGAGAGACTCGAGCAGCGCCTGATTGAAATGATGATCGGCCAATTAATAATGGAAGGGCTGGCGGCGGTGGGGAGCAGAGACTCGAGCAGCGCCTCTGCAGGGGCCGCGGCGCCGCCCGCCTTGCACAGCCACGGCAGCTTCTCCTGCACACGGGAGGGGCAAGCTCTTGGCTGTGGACTGGCTGCTGTCGCTAAGCGATTCACAGCTCAACGAGGGGTGCTCGGAGGGGGGCGGGGGAAGGCGGCGCAAGGGGTGGGTGGGTGGAAACGGCCTGTTGATCCCCTTCCTGAGGGCCAACAAGGAGGGCGTCTTAATCCGTCGCGTTACACCAACAGCTCGCCACTCCTCCCTCTCCGACGCGTCCACCGCCAGCAGCACGCCCGGCACGGGAGGCGCCTGCTCGCATCGCAAGCAATGCGTGGAGAGGCGCTGCCGCTGACGGCGAGAGAAGCGCAGTGCGAGGGGCGTGGCGCCGTGGGCGCGGGTCCGGCGGCGACGTCGTCGTCGGAATGCGGCGGAGCGTCGCGCAGGAATGCGGCGTGGTGGCAGAGCTTGCCCAGCGAGAGCATCACCTGAATTAATGAAGCGATTAATTCATTAGCGCGGCGTGGTGGCAGAGCTTGCCCAGCGAGAGCATCACCTGAATTAATGAAGCGGTTAATTCATTAGCGCGGCGTGGTGGCAGAGCTTGCCCAGCGGAGATCATCACCTTAATTAATGATGTGATTAATTAATTAGCGCGGCGTGGTGGCAGAGCTTGCCGAGCGAGAGCATCACCTTAATTAATGAAGCGATGAATTGATTAGCGCGGCGTGGTGGCAGAGCTTGCCCAACGAGATCATCACCTTAATTCATGAAGCGATGAATTGATTAGCGCGGCGTGGTGGCAGAGCTTGCCCAACGAGATCATCACCTTAATTAATGAAACGATTAATTAATTAGCGCGGCGCGGTGGCAGAGCTTGCCCAACGGAGAGCATCGCCTTAATTCATGAAACGATTAATTAATTAGCACGGCGTGGTGGCAGAGCTTGCCCAACGGAGAGCATCGCCTTAATTCATGAAACGATTAATTAATTAGCGCGGCGTGGTGGCAGAGCTTGCCGAGCGAGAGCATCACCTGAATTAATGAAGCGATTAATTAAATAGCGCGGCGTGGTGGCAGAGCATGCCCAGCGGAGAGCATCGCCTTGCGGTCGGGGACGCCGCCATCCCCCCCAGCGGCGAGGCCCCAGCCTGTCAGACACGGTGTGAAGACGGAGAGGTGTGAAACAGACGCCCTTGCCGACGCTGAGAGCACGCCTCGCCTTGAGCGCGCGTCGAGCGCGCGCAGCTCCCCGGCAAGACTGGTGGGAGTGCGTTGGCTAGGTTGGCACGACCAGCAGCCGCATCTACAGGACCCGCGCCGTAGAGAGCGCGTGCGGCGCCGGTCAGCGAGGCGGCGGCGGAGGCGTCGGAGGGGGCCAGCGCGGCGTCGTGCACGTGCTTGATCCAGGACAGCCTAGACACTTCCTAGACACTTCCTAGACACTTCCTAGACATGAGGACGTGCTTGATCCAAGTCAGCCGTGGGTGGCGCTGCAGGAACTCGGCCAACTCGTCTTCGAGCGCCGGGCAGTCGTCCGCCTGCTCACAAATGCAGGCTGATAGGAAACAGGAAACTCACATCGCATACAGCGAGGGTGTGAGAGGCGCGCCTAAGGAAGTTCACAGCTGCAGGGTGTGGAGGCGCCCTTCCCACCCTCTCCCCCTACCGCTGCAGCAGTCGGATGCCACGCTAGCGCGGAAGATCGCAGCGCAGCCATTCGGGCCTTGCTCCACATACGCCTGCAGCAGCTCGGCCCCGAAACCGGCCTGTTCACAGCGCTGCGAGTGTGAAGAGCCGCCGCTCACAGCGCCTGCAGCAGCTCCGCCCCGAAGCCAGCCTCGCTCTCGTACTCGCCAGCGTACAGCGGCGGCGCGGCGGGCGGCGCCCCGCGCCCCTCCGGTACATACTGCTGCAGCAGCCGCCGCCGCAGCTGGGCCTGCGCCGCCGCCGCCGCCGCCGCTGATGTTGGGGCGGTGGCGCTGCGGGCGGCGAGCAGGGGCGGCGCCGCAGCCGCGCCGCCAGAGGCGAAGGCGGCGAAGGCTGGCGTGGAGAGCTGCAGCGGCGGCGGTGTGGAGGCGGAGATGCGAGCGAGCGTGCCTGCGATGTGGGGGAGATGTGGGGAGATGTGGGGAGATGTGGGGAGATGTGTGCGGCAGACTACGCGTCCTCTCGAGTGAAGTCTGGAGTGCGAGGGTGCGAGGGATGTGCCTCCCCTTATCTCCCCATATCTCCCCATATCTCCCAGCTTCTAGGCCCGCGTGCGAAAGTCGTGGAAGGCTTCGGCGACGGAGGCGGCGTGCTCCGCTGCGCCGAGACCGAGCAGCTGCTTCGAGGCGTCGGTGCGCGCCTGCGGGGGGAGGAGTGTGTCAGGCGCCAACCAGCGAGCTTGCGAACTGACTAACGGTCGTCAAGGCGCGCCTGCGGGAAGAGGAGGAGGAGGAGGAGACGCGAGGGGCGTGCTTAGGGGCAAGCGGCGAGCAGCGTGGGGGTCAGGCTGGCTGCGAGGCGTTGGTGCGCGCCTCGCGGAAGGCAAACAGCGGCTGCGGCACAGCCCCCTCCGCCGCGCCTGTTCACAGCCACAGCCGTGAAGAGACGCCGTTCGCAGCAGCGGAGAGCAGCGGTGGCTCCACCGCAGCCTCGGCCGCAGCGGACGGCGGCGCGGCGGAGGGCGGCGCTGCGGCCGAGGCGGCCTCTGCGGCCGAGAAAGTTGAGGCGGCCTCGGCAACCAGCCTTGCGATGTCGGCCTGCGGAGAGGAGAGGAGAGGAAAAGGGGGGGGGGGGGGGGGGGGCTGGGGGAGGTCGAGCTGGCTCGGCCCCCCCAGGCGTGGAAAGAGGCTCCCCCTGGGAGTGGCGTCTAGGAAATGTCTAGGAAGGGTCTAGGAAGTGTCCCCCAGTGGAGAGAGGCTCCCCCTGGAAGTGGCGGCGTGCCGGCGGGGCGGCTGTTGCGGAAACGGAAAACCCCACCCCGTGGTTGCCGAGGCCGAACACGGCCCCTAATCTCGCGGCAATCTCGGGGGTTAGCCTCGAGTGCGGCCCTCAAAAAGGGGGTGGGGCCGTTTTGGGGGGTGGGGGTGGGGTTGGGGTTGGGGGTGGGGGTGGGGTTGGGGGTGGGGGTGGGGGGGGGGGGGGGGC